CTACGGTGTGAACGTGCAGCCTGTTGCTGCCTTTGTGGCCGGGGTGCAGATTGATGTGATGCCCAAGCCATTGGTTACTGTGGACTCGACTGTCTGCTGGCCCAAGCAACGTCCCGACGGCCAGGACCTGAGCATGCTGCGAATGAAGATCTCGTCCAGCGGCGTGCTACTCTTTTCCAAAACACTCCGCTTGGCCAAGCGCTACAAGGACCCCACAGACTTCGTGGACCACCATGGCAACTTGCACCGCACCATGGCCAACTGGGAGCAAGAAACAAACCCGCGAGCTTCGATAAGCCGCACAAAGCTGATGCAGATGGAGGCTTATCAGACCCACAACCAGTCGCACCAGGCTGGAAAGGACGAGGCGGAGCAAGGAGTCTTCGAATGGATGGAAGACGAGGACACCTACCTGGCCTCCGCCAACTACTCCCCAGAGCTTGGGGTGAACTTGACCTCTGCACCTGGGCCAAATAGTCACTCTCAGTTTTCTTGCTTTTGATTGAATTTAAAGAGCGGAAATGCCCCCAGGAACTGCATGGGCTGGAGGCCCAAAAGCGCCTAAGCTTGGCGGCCGCAAAAAGTGAAGGAGCTTCTCGGCAGTCAAAGAGATCGCGCGATTTGCCTGTGCAGTTGTTGACTTAGTTTCTTGAGGGATGTTGAGGGGGAGAGGAGGCGGGGTTCGTGGCGAAAGGTTTTCCAGCTCTTCAACTTCCAGCACGACGGGAGCGTAAGCTTCGATTTCCAGGCCCTTATGGATGGGAAGTTCCTGGAGATGCGCATGCAGATGGGCTTCGGACCTTTCCAGTCTAAGCCGAAGACGGTCAAGCTGGTGGACATCACAAACCAGTTCGAGGTGGTACTGTATGCCCTCCCCTTCATTTCCATGGCCAGCAGGGCCAGGGCCATTGACGCTCTCAACACCTTCACGCACGACATGCCGCCGCCCATCGTTCTGGAGCCCGGCACGACCGTGGCCGTTTGGAACCATTTCTTCCAGCGGTACCTGGTCGGCACGAGCACAGGTGCTGTCGGTTCAGGTCCTACCCACAACTTCGATCTAGGCCTTCCTAACGCTTGGCATCTGGAGCGCTGGACTGTGGTGGATGCGGGCGAGGGCAAGATCGCACTGCACCACCCGAGGTACAATGGGTTCATGAGCCTCGCAGCCTCCGGGCTCTCTCTGAAGCACGGTGCTGTGACGGACTTTCATCCTGCCGGTGGCTGGGAAGCCGAGACTTTCGTCGTGGTGAGTCGGGGTGGTGGGACAGACCTTTTCGGCTTGCAGAACCCGGCGACCAAGCGCTTCGTTTCCTGTGGGGCACACCACGACACCTATGTGAGCCCCCCGTCCGACACCTTCGTTCCAGGATGGACGCATCAGGAGTTCCGTGTGGAGGTGCTGAAACCGCGCCTGAAGGTTGGCAGCACGGTGGGACTCTGGAGCCCGCTCCGCAAGCACTGGCTCCGCCTGAACCACGGGGACCTGGACAAGGGTGGCAACGTGATGATGCCTGACCAGCAGCCCAACTTGGGATATCAAACCGATTCTGTGCAATAGTTGGGTAGCATTTTACATTTATAAGCCCAATAAGGAATAGAAATTTCGAGTTTTAATCCTATCCCAACGATGAACTAGGATTGGGAGAAATTCTTGGTGGTGGATGCTGACAATGGAGACCTCGCGTTGTGGAACCCCTTCTTCAAGACCTTCGTGATGATCGAAAACGGAGATGCTCGAGCCAGTGCCGCCATTTATCCTCAAGAGCTCCCCAGCATCTGGCCATCATGCAAGTTCCAAGTCGTCCCAACCCACGATGGTTCCATCAGCTTGCACTTTCAGGAAGGCTTCCTGGCCATGGGCGCAGAGCCCGGTGCCGCTGGCGTTTTCCACACCGGTTGGACCATCCAGTCGCTGCCGGACGCGGCCGCGCTTTGTGGTTTACGAAGTGAATTCTGGCGGTCCAAAAGAGGACCCTCCACCGGTCGGATGGAACTTCCAGATCACGAGGTGAGCTTCAGATCCCATCCCAATGGAAGGACGAGGCAAAAGCATCGATTCTTTCCACACGCAGCCTTGCCTGGAGGAACGCTGCCGCAGACGCTGCCCGCATTGACACAAAAGGCGTGGCTCTGCAGCGTTGTAGGCTGAGATCTCTACGGAAGTTTGGAGCAGTTCGGAGCCAGAGCGGTTTTGACGCACCTTTTCGTTTGTGTAGCTGCAATGAGTTCTGCTTGCTTCTTCTTCAGTGCCAAAGCATAGGTTGTAATAGATGTAAACTTTATGTATTGAACATCAGTTTGTGGAATATGCCTCAAAGTGAACCCTAACCTCGGTGTGGCAATTTTTTCTACCCTTCTCGACCTGACAGCAAGGAAGCCAAAGCTCAACCAAGCCGTATCTCGAAACACTCATGATGTGATCGTTGGCAAATGACACTTCAAGCGGCTCTACCGGGATCTCTCGCAGCAGCTTTTGCAGTGAGGCCAAGACAATCCTCCGATAACATGTGAACCGATCCACCAGAATCTAGCAAAATATTCGTCACATCGTCCATGCTCACTGCTGGCAAAGCTAGGCTGGGCATTACAAGAGACCGCTCGCAAACACTCTGAGGCGACGGCACGAGGCGAAACGGCTTCCAGCGACAGTCAAGGCTACTAATAGGCATGCGCAGAATGACTGCCAACCACTTCCCAAGCAAACGACCAACCGACAAAACAAGCATCCTACCATGAAAATCATGAAAAGCGTTAAAACCATGGCAGTCATGGTGCAAAACAGGCTTCTCTCATAGGCTTCAGGCAGCAATTGCCCGGTCACTGGCAGGATCGACGAAATCAAAAGAGCAGCCTTGCCGATCTTCCCAGCCCCTTTCGCGGAGGATGGTGGCGGGGCTGTCGTCATCGGAGGCGGTGGAGGCGCTCCTTGCTTGGGTGTTGCAGCGTTCGCCGCACTCTGAGCCGCTGTCGCAGCAGCTGCAGTGGCCGCAGCCTTCTCATCAGCAATGCGCTTGCGAAACTCGTTCGCCCAACGTGCAGGCTCGCGGCAGTAGTTGCAGGTCCCAGGCCTCTTCTGCTGCAGATTGAGGTCTGGGTACTTGGCGCCAACGCGCTTGCGGTAACGAGCAAATTCTGAGACCATGTGGCGAAAGATGTCCAGAGGTCTCCTAAGGTGCTTCGGTAGCACGATCAAGAGAGTAATAGTAGTTATAAGTTATAACTGTACCCCATTCCTCCCTAAACCCTACTACTCTAAACCCTAAACCCTATAGGGAGCGCCTGTCCCTCAACACGAGACCGAACGGACAACTCATTGTCCAAAGCACGTCAAAGATCGTATAGCCCGCGGCTGCACCGTTCTGGCTTAGCTCAACAATTTTGTCAACACCACGCTGAAAACCAGCTTGCTTAAGCAGATGCCAAAGCTTCATGGAACGCGCAGCTTTACCCTTGGCAAGGGTAACCTGGCGAATCTCCACAGTACTTTCAATGGACTCCTGCAATTCCTCCGAATAGCGATCATCTGAAAGACAGAGCCATGATGTGAGCTCTTCGCGGGAAGCCGTCCAGGTAGCAATCTCCTCGTGGCGGGTTCTCATGCGATCCGCTGCCAACTGGGGAAGAGCAGGAATGTAAGTCTCCGCCCTCGTGCTTCGCAGACCTGTGTCCACATCCATCTTAATTAACCACTCCATCAGAGTCCACCTTGAGAGCGCTAACTGCATCGTCAGCAGTTGGGGCACTTGGTCCAGTTGCTGCCGCGCTTGACGCAGCAGACGCAGCGTTCGCACTCGCAGCGGCGAGCGACTTCACCATCTCGGTGAGCTGCGAAATCTGGCCCTGCTGTGCTCGGATCTGGTCATCCTGGGCTTGCAACATCTGCCTGAAAAGGTTGACAGTGTTGTGATCAGGGCAAGAACTGGAGCTGGTTGTGGAAGCCCTTGCTGAGGGTACGCCGGTTGAGGACCATAGTGCTGTTGAAGCTCAGGCTGTGGCTGAGGTACTTGTTGCAACGGTACTTGAAGTACTTGACCCATGTTCCCAAGAGTCTAGGTCTAGATCTCACAGGCCGGTGTGCACTCGGATTGGATCTACTTCCCTAGCGAGAGCAACGAGACGCAGTGACTCCCAAAAGCACGCATGCGCGGAACAAGCTGCGCCGAAAGCCCATGTGCAGCTGGCGATTTTCCGCCCAAATCAAGAAACTCATGAAATTTACTTTTGCGTAAAACGCTCACATGCTTGTTCCACTTTCGGGAAGATTGGAATACGATTCACGGGATTTGCCGCCCGCGCCTGCGATGCGTGCGCCTGTGAAACGCACCTTTCTCACTTCACACTTGCGTCTCCAGTGCTGCTGCTGTCGCAGGCCGGGCCCTTCGCCATTCGTGCTTTGAATGATATTCTTTATATTTATATATTCCAATTTCGCGAGGAGATCTCCGTTCCCAGCGAGCAGTTGCGGGCTCTTCTGTTTCGCAGACCTCGAGTTTCTCCTTCCCTCGCGCCGCACAGATGACGCTGCCACGGTGAGCTTGACATGCTTGGCGACCACCGCTTGGCTTGCGCTGCCTCTGGGGTCTTCGCCCGCGCGCGGTGCCTTTTGAGCATGCCGTCGCGCGAGTCTGTCGCTGACATGAACCTCCATGTGCCTGTCTCGTATGAGCAGCGCAGTGAGCTGGTGGTTAACGGCCTCCCTAGTCTTACCCTGGACCACCATTATGTGCCCACTCATGGCGCTGCGGGCCACCCGCACGCAGACGTCCAGCCGGCGCCAGCGGCATCAAACACCCAGTGCTCCAACGCGCATGGCGCTGCCGGCTTGCTGTTGTGGGCTTGGAGGTTGGCGGCAGGTTTGGTGCCGAAGCCTCCTCGCGCGACACCGGGCTGCCGCCGCTGAGGTCCTCCACAAGTGCCTGGATCTCGCGCGCTGGTTTGGGCTTTTCGCTGTCGTTTCCCAGCCTACGCCGCCTCGCTCCTCGAGCTGCCGCCCCTGAGCTCGGCGAGGGACCCTTGCCAAAACTACATATGGTGTTTTACCCCGGATCGACCAGCAGTAGACCGCCAGTGGCCTAACGCAGACGGATTTGGGACTATTTTCGAAGTTAATCGCAGTTATAACAAGGCGCGTTTACACAACGACAGGCTGCTCCCCAACACTGACGACCCTTGCGAGTAAGTTCATCATGCACGGACGGCCACTGTCTTACGAGATGCCCTTCGCAAATCTTCTAGCCACACCGTGTACCACGACGGGAATAATGGCATACCCCAAGCACAGCTGGAAGATGCGGGAAGCGCGGTCGACCCAACGACCAAGCGCAAGTTCAAGAAGAGCGCGCTCTAACAGTTGCGGTTGTTGCACTGGCAAGGTAAACGTGCCCGTGTCCATGTCAAATTTCTGCGATTTGCTACTCTCGGATCCGATTGCCTCCATGTTCCCCGAGATGTCGTGCATTTCCATCCCACTACCAGTTGCCAATCCCATTCGTGAACACAAACGTGTCGTCTCAATTCAACTCGTGATTGTTATTGTGTGGCTTCGTTATGCTTCGTTCAAAATCTTCACGTTGGCTCCCTTCTACAATTTTTCTTCTTACTGCAGATTTCCGTTGTATTTACGCCGTGTCTGAAGTCATTACTAGGTCAGCGACCAAGACGTCAACGTCGCAATCTTGGCAGCTGATGCCGAACGCCCTGCTTCCAGTTGCTGCGTGGTTTGGCCTGCAGGACAACCACGACAGGTCTAACTTCTGATCATCTGCTGCAGAAACGTGCTCGAATGCCACTTTATTCTATGATTCTATGACTCACATGTTGTTGGACATCAAGCTGTGATCGAAGTGCCAGCATCCCGTTGGCAGCCTCATGCAACACGGGCAATCATGGTGAAACACCACGGCTACGATCCTAGAGGAAATGGAAGTGTTGGTGCCACATAGGAAAACGAGGCCTCGAAGCATCAGAAAATCTCTGGCCACATCTTGTGCTTTGCATTTCCAGACTTTACTTGCTGGCACATTGGTCCAGCAAGGTGCGTTCGGAAATAGACGCTTACTCCGCCTGCGCTGACGGCTGCGCAACGCACTGGGCTTCCTGGTGCGACACTTGCTCGTCATCGCCCGCTGGTCCGGACGGCGGCGGGGGAGTCCAGACGCCAACCCAGACACTCTTTGCGCCATCGCCAAGGTTGCTGATGTTGGGGAGCTCCTCGCCGGCAGCGTTCCAGATCCGTGTCTTGCCTTGGGGCGGGCGGATTCTCGCCCGGTTCCAGAACGCAGACGCGAGAGCGTCGTAGAGCGTGCGGACGCGTTGAAGGGGCTCACTGCCGGTTTCGAACCGGCTGACGTGGTACGGCAAGGTCGGAGCATGTCCAATGCCAATGGCCCCGATTCCCGCGCTTGTTCCACCCACTTCCGCGAAACCGCACTGCCGCCTGCTCTGCAGTGCACCTCCCAGGCCATGCTCCGTTCGCAGTCTGGCAGGGCTGTGCCTGACCGCATGCTCATAGCACTGCGGCGGGGGCTGCGGCTGCCTTTGCTAGTCGCCCCACAAGAGGTGCGGCGAGCATCGCCACGGCTGCGGGCCGTTGTCGGCGAATGCGGCGACCACCATGCCGCACTTCCGCACCGGATCTTGTCGATCGCCGCCGCCTCGACTTTGTAGCGTGGAAATTTAACCTGTGCTGCGACGTCACGGTCGTGTCCCCGCTGACGGAGGAGGGGCGCCCTCAGCCTTCTGCCGCCTCGCGTGCACACCGCCTTTGTATCCTTGCGTGCGAGGCGGGGGCGATGGAGTGCGGAGTTGCTACGCCGGGCTAGCCGAGCCTGCGACGAGCGCGCGCTCGAGACGCACTTTACTGACCTTTTGCATGCGTCTCGTGCCCTGCTGCTCTCCCAGGCCGGGCCACACTCCGGCCGTGTGTTTACGGTCCTCCCCACCTCCGACGATGTCACTATCGCCAGCGCACCGTTCCGGGTCCTGCTGCTCCGATGGCTGCGCCTTCCCTTAGAGCTCTGCCCCCGCACTTGCCGCTGCGGCCGCAGCTTCGACCCTCTGGGCGACCACCGAGCCGCCTGTGCCACCTCGGGTGTCCTCCCGACCCGGGCGCTGCCGCTCGAGCATGCCCTTGCTCGTGTCTGCCGCGAGGAGGTCGTTTGCAATGGCCTGCCCCTCTGGCACGGAGCTCTCGCCGTCGATGCGACCTTGGTTTCCCCGCTCACGCGCGACGGCCTGCCACAGCCCGCGGCCGATGCGCAACCGGGCGTTGTGTCAGCCCGCGCGGCGCAGCGCAAGCGCCGGCACACCTATCCGGAGCTGCTTCGAGCTCGCCGCTGCCGCCTCGTCGTGTTCGGCATCGAAACTGGATGGGCGCTGGAGTGAGGAAGCCGCGACCTTCCTCCGACTTCTCGCGCAGGCCCGCGCAGCCAGCGCACCTGTCGCCGTCCGCCGCGCTGCTCAAGCCGCTTGGGTGTACCGTTGGAGCGGCATCCTCTCCGTTGCCGCGCAGCGAGCCTTCGCCACTTCGCTGCTCGAGCTTCCCGCTGCCGCAGATCTCGGTGCTGCTGGTGACCCACCCGCTTTGCACGAGCTCCTGGCCGACGCACGCTGGTTGCAGGCCCCCGCTAACAGCCGCCTCCCAGCCCGCCCTGCCTAACCCGTAGACAGCAGTTTGCACCGGGACCGGACCTAGTACCTCTGGTGCTGTTGCAAAAAGGGGCGTTAAAAAAAAAAAAATTGCCCCGCCTCGTCGCCAAACTCGTGCGGCTTCGCGCCGAGTGCGCTCCTGCCGCTGCGCAGTGCCGCCAGCCAGGGCTGCCCGTGCCGCTGTCCTCAGCGTTGCTTCGCAAATCACTCTTGCTGCAACGATACTCGGCACGCCGTACGTTGCTTGAGCCTGCCCAGCTCCCTGCGCTCGGGGACGTTCTGCACGGCACGGGGACCCGGACCCTTTGTGCAGTCGTAGAAGGTGCGTTCAAAAAATACTGCATATGTCTGCTTAGCAGGAAGTTGATGCAGCTTGATTGCCGCTGTATATACTCTCGAGTTCTCTGCGGAAAGGAAGTAGTGCATCCCATGGTTCCCGAACCCCTGAGTACTTCGGGCCTCATTCTCGCCAGCTGCTTGTTACTCAACAATTGGCTGTGTGCTGATCGGTCTGTTGTGGTTCCCACGGGTGAACAACATTGCCACTGCACCTGCGAGTGTGAAGCCAGTAGCTCAAGTCGCCCTTACGTCTTCTTGGGATTTCTGGCTGGAGTTCTAGTTGGATTCGGAATTTACCATGGCCTCCTATATCGACAACACCGTGCTTCCAGCCTTCACAATCGAGAACAAGTATGTGATAGTTCAATATCCGGGGGAGCGGAAGTGGCACGAGAGGTATGTGGTCATGAGACCAACGCCGAGCAGCGACCCCAGATCAATTGGATGGTGCGTCATCGCAACACCCGACGGTGATGTGTACGGCGAGCCCTTATCGATTCCTAACATAAACGGAGTGGCTGTTCTGGGGGACGATCGTTCATTGCCTCCTGGAGTGCTGCGCCGGAAATGTACCGCTTCGAGGACGGCCATATTGGACAAGCCTTAGGCGCAGCTGAGGTGGCCCACCTTCGCGGCCTCGCCAATGCTGAGCTTACGGCCCTGCAGAACGAGATTGACCAGACGGGGCTGGCAGTTGTGACTGCTCCCCCGGGCACGGCTGCTGCACCGGCGGCAGCCCCACCTGCGGTCGCTACAGGCCCGATCTTAGCGCCTGCGGCCGGATTCACTTGGGTCGTCGCGGCTAGCGAGGACCATCGTGCCCGGGGAAGCCTTGTGCCTTTAGCGCAAGTTGTCGGAGGGTATCAAGCAGGGTCCTAAGGAGTTGCCGGACTGAGCGACGGAGTGATCTTGTTTGTGGAGCTGGTCGCCAATCATGAGCTGATCGCGGCGCTGCCAGCCCTGGCGCATCCTGGCACCTTTCGCCAGGTTCAGGCAAATCGCATTGTGCGGGGCGCAGGTCGAAGAGCGGGTTGCTTCAAAACGGGCGGCCAGCCCAGTTGGCCCGGTCGAGTACAATGCATACACGGCGCAACCGCCTGCGGGCGCGATTTATTGGGTGTGGCATGGGCGCACGAGCCTGCAATGAACGTGCGCGCAGTGGTTCTGGGCCGAAGCTGGTAGGCCCGAACCATGGGAGCCCAGAATGCGAACGTTACTGTTTTCCGACCGGTAAAGCATAAGAGCATCCATTTCATCTCCGTGACAACCGCGGAGGTCTTCTTCTGAACCCTGGGGCTCCTCCGCGGGTCACACAATAGAAGAATCAGATGAAAGAGATGGCAATGGCTGGGGCACTTCTGCGACCAAGGTGTGGAGCATAGCAGAAACAAGTTTGGATAGCATGCGCTATTTGCGTCTTTCTGCTACAATCATATCCATTATATAGTTGCTGCATTTCTTCTCAAGGCTTTGAGCGGGAGGGCCACGGCCAGTGTTCTACTTATGCTGGGACACACGGCTGCAATGCGGCCGCATGACTGTCGAAGAATGCGCGGTTTCACAACGGTAATTGTTACATTATTGTCAATGACGGATTTCGATCCCTTGTTGCAGGTGCCCCTTTACTTGCTTCGCCATTTTTTTCCAGTAACCCTTTTTCCGACTGCGCGAGTAGTCCGCATGGGTTTGTGTGAACGCACACCAGACCGGAAATCTTTTGTTCTAACCTTTGCAGTTTTGAAAGTAGTATTTGTCCTGATCTTCCAGAATCTGCATGAGACCTTTCATTTCATCCCTTCTCAAACCTGAGATTGCGCCTTGAAGCTCTCCAGGCTCGCCTCCCCTCACGGGTCCTCGACGGATCGTTTGTGAACGGAAGCAAACCACGATTGTCTTCGTCTGGAAGGAGATCGGGTAGTTGGTGAAGATGTGGCGGCTGCAGTGCACTGACACATTGCTGCCTTGATGCAGGCCCTCACGTCTCGGGGCTTCCCATTGCACGCCAGCTTGA